TATGACTCCATCAAATTCAACCTATGAAAATAAAATACCATATACATGCATTCATATTCAACACTGATAAAAGACGAACCTTCTCTTGTGAACACTCAGAAACATGTTGTTTAAGTGTATGAATGGGTATTAAACAATTGCACGTCTTGCATTTTTCTTCACGCACTGAACAAGAAGATATCGGCAACTGATAGGATATAATGATATGGTTAAAGTATAGAATTACATGCCGATTTAATAATTATGTACACTGTACCTCATTAATATTTAAGTCGATTTGGATTGGCCGTATATATAGCTTGGCATGAGGTACAACTGACTGGACGTAATCCACTGTGTAACCTTCTGGTGGTATAGGAATAAGTTCCAGTGTTCGGTTTGGGCCTTGCCTCATGAGCTCGTATCCTCCTGAATCCTTCAACTGACTAAACTCATTATATAGCTGGTAGGTTAGGTCTTCACTTGTAAGCAGAGTGAGTGACTTCTCCCCAAGACCAGCTAATTTAAGAATTGCCTTTTCTGTACCGTCAGGTACAGTTGACTGGTCTTTATTAGACAGGCAAACAAAATTGTGCTTCCAATATCGTTCATCACTCGTCGCGGTAAGTTTCCTTCTCTTGCCTTTTCTGTCAAAAGGAGATACAGCTTTAGTTTTCGAACGGAACAGATGCCTCAGAGCTTCAGAATGATGGTGATGGCGAGTGCTGCTGGTTAATGTAGAATCGCTTTGCTCGGAGAAATGCTCTGCTTGCCCGCGGGGTACTGCTTGCAGTGAAGAACTGCTTGACTGCAGCTGTGTGGGGGTAGATTGTGAGCCTGAAGCCGACTGAAGCTGCTCAACAACTCTAAGCAGGTTTGTGCATATGCTTTTAGTCAGTGAATCTTCGTGGGACATTCTCACCTCCTTTGCACTTCGAAATTCCTCACCATATACAGTCCTGCTCCTCAGCCGGTATCGTGACTGAGGTAAGCCTCCACCTGTAAATCATATACTCTTCTCCAGACGGTTTCCAAATCTTTCTCTGCCTCTGTAATGATACCGAGAAGAACGGCGACACAAACCGCAATAACAATACATGTACAGTGCTTATATAGAGTACATTATCAATGATCGTACACCATCAATTTTCGGACACTAGTTTTAGGAAAACTATACATTGCCATCTCATGAAACTGCAAAGTATTATAGCAATAGT